GCCACACCTCTTTCAGCCCGTTCACCTCTGGAATAATACACTGTATAATCACCACTTCTTATTTCGCCTTGTCCTTTCCATCGCGCTTCACTGACACCTAGAAGAGACACCTCATTCTTCTGCATTTCCGTTTTCAAATTCTCCAATTTGCCTGCTTGATTCAAGGTCCTTACATTCCATGTTCCAATCTTGTATCCATGATGTTTCTTCTGATCTTCGCACTTTTTCTTGTTGTAATGCCTGCATGACATTTCCTCTAGAAACACTCCCCCCCGGAGATCCGATTGGGGGAGTAGTTTACCTCCAGAGGAAACATCTCGCATACATGGTATCTCTGTTTTTGGAAAGAGACTATCCAGGAAAAGTGATAATGTGGTAGTTTTTCCATTTGCTTTCCACATCGCAGTACAGCAGCCGTTCAAACCACTCTGGTCACGCCTGCTGCTGTACGAACTTGAACCGTCTCGAGCATCATTGCTCTGTGCTTCAAGTCGCTACTGATGATGCTGCTTCCGGCATCAGTTTGTGGTGTCTCTCTTCGTCTGATGCCTACCCTTTGACCTGTCCAGGAAGAGAGGCCCTGCCAGTAGCTACGCTACCGCTGGTATAGCTCTCAGGGTCCTTGGCCTACTCAAACCCCCTCACCACGATAAGGTGGAGACACCAACAAGGTACTAAAATGACTAAAATATACATTCGTCACATATAATGATAAATTTTAAATATTAAAACTGTTCAGGTTTTTATTGATATTGGTGTCTTTTGAAAAATCCATTTCTATCTACGCCTTTGCTGCAAGTCTTGTGGAGATAAGTGAATTGCAGATTGTAGACACAGTGAAGAAGAGAATGTGTCATGGTCTTTGGTAAAGTACTGTTATATACAGAGAGAGTGTTACTATTGTTCTTATATTTATTAGTTTTACTATTATCATTTTTGTCGCATATTCCTCATTATTTTATTTTCTATTAATAATGACAGTCAGTGTCTGTTACCTTCTGTGGTTAGATATTGATCCTCCTGGAAGTGGTGTATGGAAAGGAAAATATCATGGAACATAAAACTGTGATTATATCCTTAAAAATGAACACTATTGGCTTAGTTATTTTGTGACATGTTCCATGTGCTTCAAAATTTTAGAACTCTGTCAGACTGTAAGATCTATTGGCACAGTCACAGTAACTACATTTTTCTCATATATGAAAACACTGGATTTGATTAGTTATCTGAAGCCTTCTCTTTAGCTGTTTATAAGATTGAAAAACTCATTAGCCTGGACATGGTTCTTTTATTCCAGAAATCCTCAGAATTACACAGCATGCCCATATACAAACAAATGATTACTTTCACAACTGTTTGGAAGAACCTCAACTAACCGGAACATGAAAACAGTTTTAATCTTTTCACATTGAATGCTGTGGATATTAATTACTTACTTGCTTACTTATGGAACTGAGCCCTTCTGATGGAGAAGCCAAATCTGCAGCTACTCAAGAATTTCCCAACATTTTATGTAACCCGAAGGTTCATTACCATGTTCACAAGAGCCCTTCACTGGTCCATATCCTGAGCCAGATCAATCCAATCCATACCAGCCCATCCTATCCCTCCAAGATCCATTCTAATATTATCCACTCACCTACTCGTTGTTCTTCCCAGTGGTCTCTTTCCTCCTGGCTTTCCCACCAAAATCCTATATGCATTCCTCTTCTCCCCATTCGTGCTACATGCCCTGTCCATCTAATCTTCCTTCGCTTGATCATTATAATTATACTTGGAGAAGAGTACAAGTTATGAAGCTCCTCATTATGCAGTTTTCTCCAACCTCCTGTCACTTCATACCTCTTCGGTCCAAATATTCTCCTCAACACCCTATTCTCAAACACCCTCAGTCTATGTTCCTCCCTTAATGTCAAAAACCAAGTTTCACACCCATACAGAACCACAGGCAAAATTATAGTTTTGTATATTCTAATTTTTATGTTTTTGGACAGCAGAAGAAAAGACAAACGGTTCTGGACTGAATGGTAGTAAGCATTACCCAAGTTAAATCTCCTCTTAATTTCCTCCTGAATCAGGTTTTGATTGTTCTCTTCATTCCCAAATATTGGAACTGTGCCCCATTTTCAAAACACCTGTTACCTATCTTTATGTCATGATTTTGCCCTGCATTTTGGTCGTGAGACAGCAACGTATACTTAGATTTTTTCTATGTTTACTTCTAGACCAACCTCCTTGCTGGCATCAATTCAAGTTTGTGTGTTTTTCTTAATGGTATCTATATTGTCACTCGGTAGATTCACATCATCATCATAGACCAACAGTTGATGTGTCCTGTTTAATTTTAGTCCCACCTGGTTTTCCTCCACCTTCCTAATGACATATTCTAAACCAAAGCTGAAAAGGAGTGGCGATAAAGCATCTCCTTGTCTTAGACCATTCTGGATAGGAAATTTAGCAGACAAATGTTTACCTATACAGACTTTACTCTAAGTTTCGTTAAACACATTTTAATCAGCTTAACTAATTTCATGGATATCCCAAACTCTATCAGAATATTGTACAGTACTTCTCTCCTAACTGAATCATAGGTTTCTTGAAGTCTATATAAAAGAGAGAGAATTAAAACATGTTTGAAAATTTTTACTTTGAAAAGAACTTAACAGTCCACTTTAAAAATCTTACTTTTACTTGCCTCTCTCTCATCTGATTGTTATTGTCTGCTTATATCTTTTTATAGTAATATATGCCAGACTGTACAGTTCACAGCTTTGGTCAAGGCCTATATATTATTACATGTCAATTCTACGAGGGTCGTACTGAAAGTCATGAGCAACAATTTTTTGTAAAGTAACATGGTTTATTATTGACAAACCAAATACACCACCTCAATCTACAGACATTTCTTTATTTTTCCACATAATCGCCACTTCTTTGTACACATTTCTCCCAGCATTCTGGGAGTTTGAAAATTCCCCTTCTGTAAAATTCTGTTCCAGCTATCTGAAGACACTGAAGCACTGCTTTCTGAATTGCCTCCCTTTTCTCAAAACGTCCACGCAGCTGATCTTTCACAAATCCGAAAAGATGGTAGTCGGAGGATACCAGATCAGGGCTATAGGAGGGGTGTGGAAGAACTTCCCACCCCATCTTTGCAATTGCTTCCAATGTGACCTTTGTGGCCTTCAGTCAATGACTGCAGGACCCAACAAGCACAAACTTTCCTATAGCCCAAGCTTTCAATCATCTCTTGTACTGCACTGTGCCCTATTCCAAGTTTTCAGGCTATTGTGTCCACAGTCACATGCCTGTCATCTTGAATGATCTCATCCACTCTTTCCTAGTTGCGTTCAGTTGAAGCTGTTCGAGGACGACCGCTCCGAGGCTCATCTTCGATGCTGGTGTTCCCATCTTTAAAATGCTTTACCCATCTTCGAACACTGTTCGCACCCATGCACACACTTCAATAAGCATGCTGAATTCAGAAAGTAGTGCGTCAGTGTCTTCGGATGGCTGAAACAGAATTTTACGGAAGGGGAATTTTCAAACTCCCAGAACTCTAGGAGAAATGTGTACAAAGAAGGGGCGATCATGTGGAAAAATAAAGAAAGGTCTGTAGGTTGAGGTGGTGTATTTGGTTTGACAATAATAAAGCATGTTACTTTACAAAAAATTGTTGCTCATGACTTTCAGTACGACGTACATATATCTAAACTTATTGTGGTGCCCATTGCATGCTGTTACCATTGCTGCTGTGGAGACCTGTCTGCTCTTGACTAGTGTCTCACCCCCAACTGCATTGTGTCTGTTGATCACTTCTTTCAGTTTGTCTTCCCTATCTCCAGGAAAGCAATAAGCCTGCACTTAACCTTGACTGCTCCTTAGCTCTAGTGCTGATTGTAACATTGGAGCGTTTGGAGACTCACAATATATAGCACTCCAAAATGTTAGTACCTTTGTCCCAGACTATGCAGTGTCACATCACAGAAGACCATAATATCATACAGTTCACATATGTTCAACCATTTAATTTTACTTCAATAATGGAATAAGATTCTTAGTAATATAAGGGTTTGAAGTGTGTAATAAATAGAATGGCAGTTGGTAATGCTCATGCAGTAATTTCTTTTACACCATAAATCATCATGCATCTCCAAAAAAAAATCAAAATGAAATCAATACAGAAACAATAGCCTGAAAATAAATATGCAGAAGGTGTACTAATTTTTGATGGGTGTAATTCTTTTTCTTTACTTCATTGTGCAGGCCAGCTGTTCCCAAATCTCATTGTCCATGACCCAGAATTTGAAGTCACATTTTTCTTGAAAGACTCATCATACCGGAACAATGCCAGCTCCATAAAATTTCTCTAGATTTATAACAATATTAAATGACTATATTGGCAAACTTGTTTTGATTTCAACTAATAACAGTTGGGATTTCTTCAGTAGCTCAGCATCTGTTAGTGTCACAAGGACACTTGCACGGACTAGATAGGACTATATAATCTGAGGTTCTTTCAGCAGTGTTTTTCCGTCTAGTATAAAACACTGGTCCATTGAAAGTGAATTGACATTTTTCTCTGTTTGCCAGCTGCTGCACGCTGTTTTTTCTTTTGCCTGGCCTACTCCTGACCCTGAAAAAGGAGTTGGAAAGTGTCTCCGAAATCTACGTTGACTTTCAGTTGAATGGCGTTAAATATTGGAAGAAGTCTACTTTCTAATCGGTTGCATCAACGAGGTCGGTTGTAGTGTGCCTTTTATGGGAGCTCTTTGTTTAGGTCTGCTGAGTGCTACAGAGCATTTTGTAATAGCAGCTGAAGATAGATGGTAGCATGGGAGCGGTTCCCGAAGCATGGATATGCTGCTGGTGGGGAACTTTTACAAAGGTTTACAATGCAACTATGTAGCATTTATCAAATAACTTGGTTAGATTGCTACCTATGGCGGTAGATTACAAGTCTGCGCTTATATTTACTATCTATGTAAGTTGATCCGTGGTGAGGGTGGTGAGGTCGGCGTGTGGGGGTACAGAGCCTATGGAGCGCTATGGAGTGTTATTGAGGTTATTGAGTAGGGTTTGAGAGCTGGGAGAGCCACGAGAGTGTGAGGTTGAGCTTTATGTGCAACTTTAATTGCAACGAAGTGTGTGAGAAATATTAAATTTGGGTGAAGAATATGACGGAACAGTTCGTCGGATATACCGTGACTGTTATATGTCGGAATGATCTGGGCTCATATCAGGGTCAGATTTGTAGCGTAGATCCAAATGAACAGACAATAACGTTGAAGAAAGCATTTAAAAATGGGATTCCTCAGCAGGTTCCAGAAGTTACACTTAGGTGAGGGAGACCCATGTTTTAGCATTTGTTTTTTATTACACGAAGCTGGCGGTATTTTATGCTGTGTAGTATCGAATGACAGGATGATTTAATGACTTAGATGCGATGTTAAGGGAAACGGTTGTGGACTAATTTGAGGTGCAACCCCAGGATTTGCCAGGAGGAAGGGAGAAAACCAAGCGACACTTCACAGTAGCCTGTGTCCCGACCGAAATTCGTATCGGGTATTCCCCGAATATAAATCACATTATTGTATCAGGCAACGTGCCGCGTGACGTACATAATGAATTATAGTATGGATGTCGGTACAGTTTATGGTGTATTAGTAATGTACTTATGTTAGTACCAGGCTCAGTACTTTTACAATCTCTTACAACCAATCCAAATGCTTTTACCAATTTTTTGCCAGTCTCCCAATGTTGGATTTGTTCATAATCTGATGATATATGGAATGTATTTGTATGTACACCCAAAATTAATATGTAATAGTTGAGGTTTTCATGATGGTGACTATGAAGAAAGCAGTCTTCTGGGATGTGACGCCCTGTAGATATATTGTTAACCGATGTTTCGGAGGAGCACTTGCTTGCGCCGGTTCCTCGCTTGCAGAGTTTCTTCTTTTTCCTTCTACCCTGAAGATAGAGGCCATACGTTCTTCCGAAACGTCAGTTAACACAATATCTACACTGCACCACATCCCAGAGGACTGATTTCTTAAAAATTAATTTGTTTGCGGGTAGTGCAAACTGTGAGCTAAATGTAAGATTTGAGGTTTGTCGGCCAAATGTTTTGGTGTATATGAATCTGAGCTTTATATTATTTAATCATTTTCTTCCTTTAGAAAATAACCTCACTTCCGTGTGAAGTGTACTTTCTGTACTGGGACTGCAAAGCAACACACTTTGGGACAGCCTAAGATCGCTTAAAAGTTATCTGGGCCCAAATATAAAAAAAACAGTTTTTTTTTCCTTAAAATTTTTGGTGTTCCATTGGAGAAATGGCATGTCAGAAACAGGTTTCAAGTGATATGGAAATGTTGGTACAGTACAGATGTTCTGTAACCGTCCTTATTTATACTTGGCCCTGGTAAATATTTCCCAGAAGTAATATGTAGCTGCAGCAGGTATAACTTTGTACTATATTGTTTCAAAGATTATAGAGGCTGTTTTTTTTTTTACAGATGAAATACTAGTTCTGAATTTGATATGTTTCAGGGGTGCAGACATAAGTAATCTGACTATAATTGAAACAGCTTCAGATGCATCTGTAACAAGTCCTTCCAGTACAGTAGCTGTTACCAAACCAGTACCTAAACGTCTTGGCCGTTCTGTTAGTGAATGTTTGGCTACCATTAAAGGGATTCAGCTTCGAGATTCTCCACGTAAACATTTGGAAGACTGCAGTGTACATACACCCACTGGTCTGTATCATTTTAATGAGAAATGTTATCTACTCTGAAATGTCTACATAAAGTACATGTACAGTACTTGTCAGTTGTTGGACTTCCGGTTTAATTTTAGTATATGGAGCACTGGTTGGTATTCACCACTTCTTGTCACACATGTGTCACATTCCTAAGGGTTTCCACTGTACTGCACAGGTGCCTTTTCCTCTTTGCTTCCCAAAGCTTTATCTCTGTTTGACCAGTGGTAGTCTATTGACATTATAGGATATAACTATGAGTATGCAGACTTAAAGTGTTATAGCCAGGCTTCTGTAACATTTTTAAAAATAATGCCAAGAATAATAATAAACCTTCTGAGGTTAAATTTGGTTTTGCTTTTAAAACTTTATTTCTAAGCCACATAAACTCAGGATTGAAAACTTACGAAGGTATGACTGTTTTTTTTTTTTTATAATAATGCAAATGCAGGATTTGGGTTTTGTTTTAAATAAATTTCTACAGTCAAGAGCAGACACGGCTATGCCATCAGGCCTTGTTCCCTCCCCTTGTACCCTCATGTTGTGCACTCTGGCCATTAGCTGCACTCTTGTGATGTCATCACTGCTATATGACAGGAATGACCTTCTGGTGTGAGGGTGGGGATGTGGGGAAACACTTGCTACGAGTATAATGCCTCCATGTACTAGAATTCTACTAGACTTTGTTATGTAGAGTTTTTTTATAAAGGGAATCAGTTTAATCTGTTTTCCTTTTACTTTGCTTATGATTTCATGAACATATTTAAAAGTGATACTTCACATATAACAACAGTTTTACAGTGAATGCTTAGAATGCTCCTGAGATGTTTTTATAAGTATTAACAAATGACTTTTCTGTATGCCTGCCACAGTTTAACAGACTTCTTACTACTCAGAATATATGAGCTTTGTGATTTTAAAAACGAAATGATGATAATTTGTTTTTATGAACAAGGAGTAATGTGATAAATGTACAGGAAGACACCAAGTCTCTTGGTCACATATGACACTTTGTTTCTTCTTTGCCACTGCAGTGTTGATGTTTGCCCTCAGTAAGAATTATCTTTGGAACAACATGCACTGCAGTTCCATGTTTAATTTTCTTGCAAGTTGAAATCTGACTGCAGCTCCATTGCTGGCACTAACCATTGTTCAGGGGAACCTGCTTTTGAAGCTGTGTCACCATGCGCACACTTCCTGAAACTTCAAATGATCATGTACGGTTGTTTCTATCTCAACAGGATGACCTGATCAGGCATTATCTGCGACTTTTGAATATCCTAGAGAATTTCTTGACCCAGTTGTGAATTGCTTTACATTACAAACACTTCCCACTCTAAATAGTAAGCATTTCTTTATGAATATCCTTTGCGTTGAGTCCTTTTGCCCACAAAGAACACACAACGGAAGGCTGCTTTTCAGTAATACACTCTTCAAGCACGGTCACCATTTTGACTACTGAAACCAGCCTCTGAACATGTGCATGCATATATGCTACCTGGACTGTCATGAAGCTGAACTGTGCTACTACCTAGTGATACAAATAGAAAACCTGTTACATCCATTATAACTGTTTTACTTCCATTTGTGGCCTATTTACTGGCTCTCCCTTGTAAAAACATTAGTCGTAACTTAAGTTGTGTTGATAGCTATGGAAGTAAAATTAATAGGGAAAGTGAGTTTTATTGAATTGCATTTTATCCCTTAAAATATACAGATATCAGAATTTACATAAAAGTTTATGAGCCGTACATGGGTCTGTTACTAATTAAAAATTATTTGATGAAAAGAATTATGTTCTCCATAGTAAACTATTTACCATAACCTGTATATTTGTAATTTTGAACTGTATAGTTCTACTGAGATCATTATTTTTTAAAAACCATGCATCAACATTCAGTGAATCCTTATGCTGAAATTCAGGGGAAGAATTTGTGCAATTCAGAATTCTCATTAGTATGATGTGTTTATTGAATTCACACCTGTAATTTACTTTTATTTAGTATGTGATGTAAACCGTACGCCCAGCAAGAAAGATAGAGTTCGCCAAAGGTGGTCTGAGAGAGATGAAGCATGTTTTGGGACTCCTATAGACAGTATCTTGGACCAGGACTTTGATTTTGAAAAGAATTTGGCCCTGTTTAATAAACAGGTTGGTTATTTCTTCAATGTCTATTAAATATTATATCAGAATAGCCTTGTACTAATATTGACATTTTCATTCACAGTTATTTAAATATTTTTATTTTTTTAAATTATAAGTTGGTAATCAGATGGAAATTGAATTTTTATTTAGGAAGAAGGGGTTCCAAGTATATCTAATAGACTCTGCATTTCTGTTGTGCATTATGTTTGTGTGATTTTGTCTAGTAAGTCAGCTACAGTAAAATTGTCACTAAAATTTTTCATGGATACAATTATTGTGCTTTTGGACATCATCCTTTATTGTGTTTTTTTGTTTAAAACACAACGTTTCAAAGACTGGATTCTCTCTCCATCTTCAGGAAAAAGCATACTCAGTTGATCCCAATCAGTAGAGTAGCGATAACTTCTATTCTGATAGTACTCTCTTTTAACAACAGTAGCTGTGGAGCAGTGGTTGGACATAGGTGCTAGGCCTCGTGTGTGTGGAGTTTTTTTTTTAATGTTTTTAATTTGTCTTAGCTCACAAAGATGGTTTATGTTGAGACTCATTTACATATCCTATCCTGTATCTGGAAATAGGGACTAGCACTATCAGATGGGTCCAATGAAGTAGGCTTTTTCCTGAAGACAGACAGGATCTAGTCCGAAACGATGTGCTTTTATTAAAAAGACAGGGTGATGGATAATGTCCAAAAACACAATAACTATTAATGTGCAATCATCACAAACATTAGGTCTTATTTTCTTGGAGAGTTTGGGTTTGAATACTAAATCAAAGTGAAGTGTTAAAAGAACAGAATTTGACATTAAGCTAATTGGCTTAACACACCAAAATTGAACACCGTCTGAGTGAAAACAAATGAGTATTCAACTGTGTATGAAAATCCAGAAATTTGAGAATGCTCAGATAATTTATAATCATGAGCTGCATCAGCATGTTTAATTTCTTTCTCCATTACAAGTTGTTTGTCATGTTCATTGTGGCACATGTTCTGTGGAAATAATACAATGGCCAATGGTGTAGGTCAGAGTCCAATAGAAACCTGCCTCCATGCTCTTGACATGGTCACCTATGTCAGTCATCCACAGATATATTCCACATACATATGAGTTGAAGGTATAAGCCTGATTTTTAAGAACAGGAATATGTAATTTATAACTCCTGCACTGAGTTAATATAGTGAAGGATTTGGCAGTTTGTTTGAAGGTAATTTAAACTGCTATGATGCGCTTGAATTGTAATGAAATTGAGTATATTGATGAAATAATATATGTAGCTGTGTACAAACAATTTTCAGGCTGTTTATGATGAGATAAATGCACAAAGGCCGGACATTGTTCGTCATGCAGATACAAGCAGGCGCTCACAGAAGTATCGCCATAATGAGAATGTGATAGCAAGTGTGCCAGCTATGTATAGACAGGTGGTAGTGCCTGCACCTGGTTTGAAGGAATATGTCACTGGTAAGGATTTACTTGAACTTAATCTATGTCTATGATTTGAGGTTTCCACAATGGTGATGATGGAAAGGTGCTTTGTAATTCTGTAGAAGTTTACCAACATTTTGGAGGAACGTATTGCCACCATATTCTGGGTTGAAGAATCCAGTAAGGAATCAGGCCAGAAGAGCTGTCTTGCTGCTTGCTAGTTTGCTTGCTAGACTTCCCCCTTTACCCTGAAGATGGAGGCATTACATTCCTCCAAAATTCTGGTTCACTTCTACCAGACTACACAGTGTCACAGCCTGGAGGATGATACTTTACATTATATTAGATTTTTGTTCCACCTCTTTTCTTCATTCTTATACATCTTTAGTTTCCATGTCTTTACACTTTAGTTTTATATCGTGACAGACTGAGTCATTATCAATTTTATATCAGGAGGTCCGTGGTATGAATCCCAACCTTAGATGACCAGTCTCGATAGACTTTTTTTTGTGCCTCTTCAGGCAGATGTGGTGTAGTACATTGAAATAGGCCATGAGAGGGTTCCCGCTATTAGAACACAGGAGTGCATCATTGTTGGTAGGGTGAATGATCAGGAAATGAGTCCATCGGCTGAGAATTGCACTTCCTGTTGTGCTGTCCAACTTTACGCAGTTTCACTAACAACATCTGAGTGCCATATAATTTCCATGCTCTTATGAGAAAGAGGTGATGAATGAACTTCAAGCAAGACATGGAAATTCCCTTTGCAGTCCGAAGGCTTCCAGGCATCACCCATTCATTAAGAATAATTAATAATGCTTGCCCATTAGAAAATCAAATTCTTGGGTGCTGGCTTCTTGAAGATGCATCCACGTAGAAACTCAAAGGAATATTGAAAAATAATCAGAGTTAGGGAACAAAGAACAGTGGTGTATTGTGTAGTATTTTTAAGTAGAAGTTATAGTGTTAAATGCAACTTGTCCCTTGAGATTCCAATACAAGCAGTTTGTACTGTATACTGAAAAGTGTTTTTCAGTTTTTGTCAGTTGTTCCACACATTTTCCAGAATTTGATCCAATAGCTCCTGTTACATACCTGTACTTTAATATGTGCACATTTGGGCACGTGGTAGTGTATTGGGCCACTATGCTACAAGCTGGAAGGTCGCACATTCGAGTCCTGATGAGGTGGATTTTTTTTTTCAATATACCTAATCCTTCCAGCCACACTAGGGCCCTGGGGTTGACTCAGCCTCTAACAGAAGTGAGTACCAGGAATCTTCCTGGGGTGTAACGGCTGGTCGATGCATAAGGCTGACAACCTTAGTGCCATCTATGAGCTGACTGTGCGGAGAAAATGTGAGTGTCTCGACATCTAAGAAGCCTATGGGCCTTCATAGCCTGTTACAGGGATAGCTTTACCTTTTTTATACATTTAACTGCTGCTAAATAATACTTCCCCACCACAGTATATCATAATCCTTTGTATAACGGAATTCCCTTTCATCTTCCATACTTTTCCCCCCTGACTGTGGACTCACATTATTGTATTGTGACTTCTGGGAGGTTTATAACATTTGTCTAAATTAGTTTAACAGTTTTAATGAGTAGTTAAGTAGTAATTTAATTTCTGTACTTATGAAAAGTGATTTGAATAACATTATTTTAAGTGCAATATGTTTTTATTCTTTTTTATACTATATTCTTTATTAGATGATGGGTTAGTAATTCCAAGTATAATGCCGGATCTGCGCCATCAGTTGCTGTCAGTTGCTGAACGGATGGGTTTAACTGAAGAACGCCAAGCTGAGCTTATGGGAAGAGCTGCTACTGAAATGGCTTTGCAGTTGCTTGGTGGTGGGCATAGGTAAGCAGAAATTAGAGATAGGTAACTCAGGTGGTAAAAGGGTATTTTTGTATGCATGGTCCAGTAACAGTACAATAGGTTTAAATTTTGTTCATGGTATGATCTATTCTGTTTGAGAGTTTTTATGGGGGAGATAGCAGGGAGAGTATGTCAGAGTAGGCTTTCTTGAAGTCTGTGAGTAGCTGGTGTACTGTCACATTACACTCCCATTTTTTCTTCAGTATCTGACAAAGGAAAAAATCTGATCAGTAGTTGATCTGTTATGTCGAAACCCACACTGATGTTCCCCAATAATTTCAACTATGTATGGACTTAATCATGAGAGAAGAATATTGGATAAAATTTTGTATGAAATTGATAGCAGCAATGTCCCCCAGTGATTACTACAGTCAGTTTTATCACCCTTCTTGTGAGCTGGTACAATAATAGACTGTCCATTGATCGTGAAATTTTTCCTTATGCCAAATAGAAGTAATTAGCTTATGGAGCTTAGAACATAATATTTCACCTCCTGCTTGAATAAGTTATGCTGGAATTTGATCACTACCTGGCGATTTATACCTTTTCAATATTGCAGTAGCAGTTTTAACCTCAGATGGACTAGGATCAGGTAGTAACGTCTCAGCTGTATGCATTTTTGTCTGCCTAATATCACTGACCCTATATACATTTAATAACTGAGAAAAGTAGTTCTGCATCTTGAAAATGTTGAGGGAATTTGCAAGCAGATCACCATTCTCATCCTTCACTAAGTTATTTCTCGGTTGGTAACCCCTCTTAAAGTCATTATTCCTCTATACAGGTCTCATGTTCACTGATGCCACATACAGAAACAGAAAGATGTATTATGGGGAGAAGGTTTTTTATAGTGTAAAGATTGATTTGTGCTCACATTGCTATCCATTATAGTTGTCATGGATCAGGTAGTTTGTCACTGTGCAAACACAAGCAGGTATTTCAAAATGATTGAACTTTCAGAATGAAAAATATCAGCATTCAAATCAAGGTTCTTTTATCTCAATTTGATCTCAAGAAATTTAACACTTTTACATGCCTGTTGAAAACCTTACTAAAAACATGAAACCATCAAGTTGGATGAATAGGTAATGCTTCTGATTTTCGTTCAGGATGTGCCTGTTTCGAATCTCAGGTGAACTGTGTTGACTGTTTTCATGGTTTTCCTCAATGTCTTCAGGCAAATGCCATTGTAGTACTGTAAATTAGGCCATGGCTTCTTCCCTTCACATCTTTTGCAGTTCATTATTCATGGTTTGATATATAGTTTGAGTTACTGACAGTGTTTCTAAATAAAGTAAAATAAATAAAATAGAAAGCAGCTACAGGGTTAAGTATTAAAGAATTCTTATTTTATAAGGAATCATATTCTGGTTTGATTGATGTTATGCTTTCAAAATAAGAGAGTTATGCCATTACCAAAATTCTTTTACTTTACCGTGTATAGGAGTTGGGATAGATCATTTGGTATAACAACGGTCTACAGGCTGGATGACCGGGGTTCAATTCCTAGCAAGAGAAATACTTTGTCCTCTCCATAGCATCCAGACTGGCTTTGGGGTCCACTCAGCCTCTTGTTCAATGGGTACTAGGGGCTCTTTCCCTGGGAAGTAAAGCAGTCAGGGCATGAAAATGACTGCTGACCTGTATCTAGTGCCAAGGTCAGGAATGGTGGAGTTATACCTGCACTCCATATGTTTTCATGCCATAATGTTTAATTAATTAATTAAGCACAGGGAAAACTTTATCTTTTATCTTTACTGTCACATTATGTAGGTTTCAGAAGCTTCAGTACATTATTCAGATGTTGCTACTGGATTTTAGTTTTAGACTTCGATTAAACTAGAACAAGGAATATATGATACAAACTCCGTCCTAAGTGCAACAATATATTGTAGGTCTTTCGTCTTGCTTTCTTCTACACTACATGTTTCGGCCGCAAACGGCCATCATCAGGTGTATACACTCACGTAGCTGTTACACTGCACCCAGTTTAACCCTTTGACGTGGTAATTTAAATTCCGCGGCCGCGGCTCCTGCGGTAATATATTCAGCCGGCCATTTAAATTTTGCTCGAAAATTATTTATTCATCATTGTTCTTAA